ATTTCTTAAAGTTCTTGAAATCCATGCAAGTGTTTGTTACATGAGCAGCCTTTCTGTTCTTTTTTTTTTTTGGCAAAGTGTTTAATTACATGCCTTTTAAGTCAATACTTTATTTTATTAAATATTAATTTATTGTGAATGTGTCCATTTTTCAAGTGATTAATTTTTTTCTCATTTAAAAACATGAAACATATTTCCATTTGTTTTTTGGTTTTGATAGATTGAGTTTTGCTTTTTTTTTTTCCATATTCCCCCATTTGTCTGATTTAAAAATACCTTATTTTTTAATATTTTTTTTCCTAACCACTTAACAGTTTTTATCCTTTTTGGGTTTATTTTTGAATTTTTTACACATAGCTTTTAACTGTGTACTCACATATCTGCAATTTTGAAGTCTCCCATTATGCCATTATGCATTTATAGATTTAAAATTCAAAACAAAAAATATGGTGTTACTACTTGGATTATTATTCTATTGACTGATTTGCTTATATCAAAAAAGGGGAAGAACATAGGATGAGAGACAAAGATATTAATATTTGGGATATAAAGTCTGATACTGTTGTATGACCTTCATTTCACTGATCAGAGATATAGTGCTTTTTAAATAAGATGAAAACCTTGTGAGAATAGAAAATAAGAAATATTTTGAAAATATTTTAGAGACTATTTTAAACAAGTATTTCAAAGTATATTATGCTACCAAGTGATCGTTAATGCCCTATTTAAAGCGGTGTATTTTTAGTAACTCTTCAATGTTTGTATTTTTATTGTTCTTATATAAATATTTAACTGCTAACATTGTTTTAAATTCTCAATATTTATTATAGTTTTTTTCCTCTAGAATTTTTTATTCAAACCAGTAAGTTATGATGGATTTCAAATAATTAATCTTCTTTGCTCCTTCTCCAAAAACCATCCTTTTGTTTTAGGAAATCTCTTGTTCAAATATGATTTAATTTTCATTGTATCTTCAAGTTAGAAATAAAATATGTCATTTGTAGTGGAAATTTTACAGTGGAGTGCTCTAGAATCAGACCTGCGACCTCATCCTGAACCACTTTTTTCCTGAAGATGTAGCAGTGTCCAACAGGAATCATCTTAAACTTTAGTCTGAGCTCTCAGCTTGGCTCTTGGTTAGAATAAGATGCCCTCAATTAATTAGAGAATTATAGTATCTGTTAGGCTGGAAAAGATCTTTAAGATCATTGAGTCCTGCTATGTTATGCATGATGATGATCAAACCCTCTTTTTTAAAGCTTTTCCAGTTGCCCAGTTTTAAACCTTATTTTAATTTATTTTCTATTCAAATTCTTAAACCAGACAGCTCAATGTAATAGAGAATCATAGAATCAGTTAGGTTGGAAGACACCTCTAAGGTCATTGAGTCCAGCTGTTAACCTGGCCAAGTTACCTGGCCAGGTAACCTGGACTGCCAAGTCCATCACTAACTGTTGGTGGTTTATATTTTATATTATCTTTCTACACACCAATCTGGACAGCTAAATCATATTATGCTTTGTGTTGTTAGCAGCAGTAAAAATTTCCCTGGTGATGCAAAAAATATATCACAAAAATGTACATAGGGTTAATCTCTCTCTAACTTCAGGTAGCTGTTTTGGGAGGTGGCAGTGCCACAAATCCACCACACAGAGCTGAGGTTTTCCAAGTGTAAGTTCAGAACATCTAGGTCAGAACCAGCCTTAGTCCCTTGTCTGTAGAAGAAGCATGAATTTAATTAGTTTGAGCATCTCTTGGCACATTCTAACATCCTGAAGCGCTGCATGCCACTGTTAAAAACCTCCTTCTGATGAGTACTACTATGACAATCATGTCTTTCTTTTTTCCCTTCTCCTACACTGTCCTCTTCTAGTGAACATACCTACACTGGAGCTTGCAGCATGTCATGCCACAGCCACTTTCTTTTGAGTTTACACAGAAAGTTGTTTCCTTTAATGATAAAGAAAAATACAATTGCTCACTAATAAGGTAACAGCTGTTTTGTTGAGGTCAGTTCAATAGGGTAATTATTTCTAGATATGTGAAGTAGTCATGGAAAACCTTGCAAATTTGTACTTTAGAACAGAGTAGTCCAGACCCGGAATATATTGATTTCCACTAACAAACAAAATCCTCATTATTTCTTTTATTAGACAACTGGCCTGATACTATGGAAAGGTATGCTCTAACTATATGGCTTCATAAATAGGATACTGTGATAAAATCTATTGAGAACAGTTTAATTAGTTTTGGCATATATAATTCATTAATATGATTATGATACAGTAGTAATAGCTGGGCTGATCCATTGGAGGCCTGAGAATTTAGTCTCTGTGTTATTTTAGAGGAAAATGGAAGAATGATCAATGTAGTGTTAAGAAAATGAAAAATATCTTCTTTTTAAAATTCTATAGTGCAGCATAATAGTTTAAGATGGCTATTGTATGCTGGGCACACTAAAATGGTGACAAAAGCCATGTTCAGACTGGCAGTCACAGAAATATTTCTGCATTTGAAGGTTCAGGCTGTAGCACTATTTCTAGTTCCACACCACTGGCATGCTCAGATGCAAGTCATGTTGCTCAGCAAAGGAAATCATATGTGTACTCACCAAAAGTGGTGCCTAATTTTTATTCAGGCAAGAACATAGTTAATAAAATATTAGTTTCTAAATAAAAGGCATTATTATCATCTGTAGAATTAAAAATATACTAGTGTCTGCCTGATTTGCAGTTTCTAATCCAGTTGGCCACACCTTTTAGCACAAGATAATGAGAGGAGCTTGCTATTGCAATATTCCTTCAAAGTGAGGAGGATTCAATTAAGCAAAAGTATAGGGGCTTTTTCAAACCTCTTTCACTCAGACTATGCAATGGCTAGGTAGGTGCATGCAGGGGAATGGTGAAAACTGTAAATTTTGAATATACAAATTGCTTTGATTTTTTTTCTTTCATCTTTATTGATGTTAAATTGGATGCTTCCTTCTGTGGAACAGCATATTGCATGCAAGTGTTATTACTTAAGCAAGCCTGAAAAAATACAGGTGGCCTTGTACTGTAAGACCAGAACTCATTATTTGCTGTGAAACGTGTAAGAAGAAGAGATAAAAAACCATCAAAAATATCTATCTTGTTTGATGAACGTTAAGGAGGAAATAGTGTGTACTATTTCATTATTGGCATCAGTCTAGGAAATCATGTTTAGTGTTAATTAAATCTTCTGTAATATCTTTCATTTGAACACAGAAGTGTATTAGAAATACTCATTTCTTAGATCTCAGAAATATTATTCCCATTTTCTGAAGGCATTGGTTAGGAGAGCAGCAGCGCTAGACAGAGAACCAGCAATGCCAACTTCTAGTTCTGTATTTAGCAGACAGAACATGGTCCTGAACTTCAAATGAATCACAAGATGTGTAAGATGGGGCAGATGTAACTCTGCAGCTCCATGCAGCTCCTGAGTTAGGTGACAATGCAGCTGAGCTGATGGGCTGTGATGTTCAGGATGACGTGAATGAGAAACAGGCTCCTTTAGCCATGATGGAGAGCTAAAGGAGCTGGGCTGCATTCAGCAGGTGAACTGGGGCATGTAGAGTTGTATCAAGTCTATTTTGCTGTCCAGAGAGAAAATTTCAGTTAATTTACATTGCTTCCACAGGTTTTTGGACACATATAAGGTAGCACTTAATTCTGGTCCAAACCTGCTCCTCCTGTTTTACTTTTAGCGTGGAGGTGAGGTTATCAGTTCTTACAATGCTGAGAGGTTTTGAAAATCCTATTCTTTCATTCCTAAATACTGATTCAATTATGATGAAGTTTTAATGTATATTTTAAGTTCTTCTAAGAAAGGACTTTTCCTACCAGAATATATGGTGCTTTAATCCTGACTGAAGACATAAGACACTATTCTGCAACAAACAATAATCGGTCTATCATATTTTTATTGCCCTAATTTAATAAATGCAATTATTTTCACTTATTCCATTGATTGACTGTTTATTCATCTTTAATATTCACTGTTCTGATTTATACCTTTTGCATGTCATTTCAATAGTTATGAGGATACTCTTGTTTTAATTAATTTACTTGAATTAGAAATTACAACTTTTCATGTAACTTTGTTCTCTTGCTACAGATGATCCTGTCTTTTCATCTATTTCCTTTTTTGTGTACTGTGTCCTAATTTCCTATTAAAAATATGTTAATCTGTTTCACTCTGCCTCTGACTGCGTTGTAAGTGACTAATAATTTAAGATCTATTATTAGAGTTCACCACACTGTTAGTCAATGTCACACTGTAATTTAAGGCAGTGTGAAACTCTCTTAAGAAGCTGTGAAAAGTAATAAGTCATAAACATATTGATGTTTCAGCCATTTGTAAAGAATTGTTTACTTGAATAACTGCTATTATTAAGAAAAGGAATTAAGAAATTTTAAATTTAATAATAAAAATTTATTTTAAATGGTGGAATCTTGGAATGGAGTTGGAAGGGACCACAGAGACCACCTTGTTCAACCCCGTGCCATGGGCAGGAACGCCTTCCACTAGACCAGGTTACTCCAAACCCCATCCAACCTGGCTTTGAACACTGCCAGGGATGGGGCATCCACAACTTCTCTAGGCAACCAGTTCTAGTGCCTCACCACCAGCATAAGAAGAACATCTTCTTTATATCTAATGAAAAAAAAAAAAAAGCTATATTTACAAAACATAGTATGTCTCCATAATTTCTTGTATTTTTCTGCACATTATGTTGGTTTTAAGTGATACTTTGTCATGTCATCAAATCCCTGAATGACATTTATAAAGCTGGCAAGCACAATTTGGATTTACAACTATGGCCTTCATGTTTCCAAAATATAGGGAGAGGCAATTCTTAAGTCCATTAATGATTTTTAAATTTTCTTTGGATATTTATTTTCACTTTAACTTATCCATGAATGGAAAGCACTGTTAAAATTTTTTTGCATATATTATCTGATGTTTCTGAAATTTTTCAGGTTAATTGCCCAGATCCATGATGAATTGTTGTTTGAAGTAGAAGATTCTCAAATCCAGGAATTCTCAGGTAAATACAATCTCTCTTTCTCTTTTCCTCCCACCCATTTTTACTCTCTATATCCTGTGATTTCTCAGAGAATAAAGAACTAATGTAGTGAAAAGAAGGGCATTGATTCTCACAATTAAGAAAATGTACACCAAGCAGATTTTTCTGAATGTTTTCCACCACTGGCTCTTATGTAGATAAAATGTGATATAGCAGTTTGGGATTAATTACCATGGTTATTTGTATTTAGTTTTTTTATCAAGATTTTATCATCCACTGTGTGAACCCTGTAAAAGTAAATAATATTTCCTCCAAGGTTTTAGAAGGAAATAAACCAATTTTAAGTACCTTAGATTAGGGGCTGTTACATAAAGAAGTATTCAATTCTTCATGTAATATTATACTGTACTGTATTTTCTGTGTTATTTTACTGCTTTTTTATATTAAGAAACCTTTATGATGGTACTCTCAAGATTATGGTAAGTAAAAGTTTGTGCCTATGTTTTGGTCCTCTCATCTGGCTTACTTCCAGACATTATTCCCTTAGCCAGAGTTTGTCTCAGCATCTGGTACAAATTTAGCAAGCAAGCAAGGGCACATAGCAGTCTGTTGGGTCTCTTCTACAGTAAGTTGTGGGTTTATTCCTGAAGGCACCAAGTGTTTATTCACCAACATTGGTCTAGTTTGAAGCTCAACGATATGTTTGGCTTAACCAATTAACATAATGTCACAAATATTTTAAATGAACCAATACAAGAAATATTTTCCATTATAGCACAAGCATTTAATAAAAAATTAATTTCACCTTCCCACGCTGTATTCATTTGAACAGTGCAATCTGCTATATTAGTCTCATTTCATACTGATCCCTCTTGTGAGTATTAGTTCAAAATGAGAGCATTAAAACTCTATCTAATCTAAACAAATTACCTGGGAAATATTTCAGCTCAATATATTCAGGGCATTGTAATGAATTAAGTTAATATATTAACATTTGCCCTCTAAATACAGGAGTTAAAATATGATTTAAATTAAAAAAAACATGCTACAATTTATTGGAGATATCTGTTCAGAAAAGGTAATGTGTAAAATTGACATAGTTTCAGAGTTAGGAAGCATAGTGTACTGAAAGACATCTGTAGGACAGCATAGAAGGATTTTTATTATCTTATTTTGCATCAGTTTATATAAAGTAGAGTGCTAATATTATACCCAAAAGATAAAAATGATTCATGATTGATTATACATATAGAAAATCATAGATTCTGCCCCCATTGGATCAAATTCAGATCTCCATTACTAGTCTGAATTTGTAGCAAATTCAGAAAAATCTATATTTTTCAAAGTGTCACAGAAAAAAAACTCTATCATATGAATAATAGTAATACATTATCCCGCTATGGTAACATAATGACTGAAGGCTTTTTTCTGAAAATGCAAAAAGAGTGCAGCTCACATACTCAAGTTTAGAGTATGCACTGCACAGTAATTTGCTGATCTCCAGATCTAGCTGGAGGATGCAGAACAAACATACCTATAAATTCTTTTTTTGCGCCTCAAAGTTATAATCCTATAATTGAAGTTGCTAAGATGACCTTTAGAAAATGGACCTGGGCAGTCTAGAGGTGTGAGATACCTTGGAAATTGTCATTGCACTTAGCATAGGCTGCCAAACTTGAGTGTTCAAGATGGAAGTTTGTTTCATTCTGCTAATTGAAGATTGAGTTTTCAATTTGTCTCTACTTTGCCCTAAGAGTCAAATGAAAAATGAAAATTCTGCATTACAGGAATTTTCAGATATACTTCTGTCAGAACAGGAGAGTGGTAACTTGTCGTATTCTTTATACAAAAAGACCAACCTAAAGGGTTGCTTGGAAGCAACCAAGAGGGTGCTTGGGAAGTTCATCCTGAGACATTGATTTCCTTCCTTTTTATTCATCACTGGGAGAGCCTTACTTGGAATACTGCATCTGGTTCTGAAGCAAATGCAACAAAGGGTGACAAAGATGATGAAGGGACTGGAGCATCTGTTCTACGAAGGCAGGCTGAGACAGCTGGGACTGTTCAGCCTGGAGAAGAGAAGGCTCAGGGGGTGCTACTAATGTATATATCCTAAGGGAGTGGGCATAGAGGAAGTGGTGGTGCCCAGTGACAGGACCAGAGGCAATGGGCACAAACCCAAACACAAAAGGTTCCCTCTGAAGATCAGGGAACACTGTTTTACTCTCCAGGTGACTGAGCACTGGCACAAGTTCCCCGAGAGGTTGTGGAGTCTCCATCCTTGGAGATGTAAAAAAAGCCATGTGGACAAGGTCCTGGGCAAACAGCTCAAGGTGGCCCCTCTGAGCAGCAGGGCTGGACCAGGTAACCTCCAAAGGTTCCTTTCAACCTCCCTGACTGTGTTTTGCAAATAGTTCTGCTACTGGTAGAAGAATAAATCCAAGGTATCTTAAAAGGGTCCAAAGCTGGTGATTCTTCAGTCATTAATGAGGATTTTGTTTGATCTGAATAGGCAGAGATGTCCACACTGGTGTCTCACTTCAGTCAGCAGGACAGGAAGTGCCAAAGCAGATCTCCCTATTGTCCCAGTCCATGGTGTGAACTGTTTCAGTTCACATCACAGAGCAGCCTGAGAACAGTTGACCTAGATTCCTTTCAGATGAAACTAAGTAGGAACACTCTTTTCTCTTAATATTTTCCAATTATTTCAGGAGCTGCTAAGTAAGGCAGTGATTACATATCTGAGCATTAAACCAAAGTAGTCAGTTGGTTGTGTTCTCCTAAGTCACTTAAGTGTTATGAATGTCCAAATACGGTTTTCATCTCTTTACCTAACGTTCTTTCACTCTTTTCTAAAATCCTTACTCTTCTTGTGTTTATTTGCCAATATTCTTTAGCTGTCAGCTTTGTCTTTACATATCTAATGAGCTTTTGTCCATTCAGAAACTTTAAATTACAGAATCTGCTGACTTGCAGTTTCCAGCCTGCAGTTTAATGATCCAGAGAGAAATCTCAGTTGTACAGTCACGAAGCTCAGTAAAGGAAAAGACGTGGACTTGAAGCTAAAGAGCAGTGTTTGAGGGTTTTAATGGATTACACTTCAGTGCTGTGTTATTCTTCTGCTTTTAATGTGATCCAAGAAGTACTGGCCTACTATTCAGCATGTTTACATTCTGATTCCAGTCATGCTTCTGACCTACTTTTTCAGGAAAGCAACAACAAATATATGTCTCTTTTTTCTTGTTTGTAGAATGAAGATTAAACTTAAAATATTTTTAAGATTTATAAATGAAGAACATAAAGGTAAATAGTATTATTTCATTAGATCATAATGCAGGATATAAGCCTTCTCAGCAGCATTTTCCTAATAGAAGAGTCTCTTTTGAATTGCTTCACAACATTAAAATGTCCATTTGCTTCTAAGACTCTCTTGAATGGCAGCTGAAAAATGCCACAAGGATTTGTAATATTGACACTTTGTGTAGGACTTCATATGCTCCAATAAGACATTTTGGGACTTTACAATATACAGAAATCCCATTTATAGTGCATCTAATAATGCAGAGAGGATTTGGAATCTTTTGCATCTAATAAAGAGGAGGACAAGCAAACAAGCATAGTGGGTTTTTTTTCTAGATCTACTTCTGCACAAAGGACTGCATAAGGTGGGTCATCTCAAGGTCTCACCTATATTTTGGAAGAATACCTTCTTCAAAAAGAATCTATTGCCCACAGTTTTGTAGTACAAATATGGCTCACTCTGAATGGACAAGGCAGAACATCATTTATTTATAATAAGGTTTTGACTGCCCAAGCTTTGCCACACTACAAAATACAATGAAGCACATACTACTCTGAATGGTGCAATTTTCCTCAAAGATATGGCATATCATTTCCTTCAATTCTCTGTTTAGGGGAAGAACATGACAGCAAAAGAGCTTTTTAAAATCCTAATTTCCTATTAGAGGGTGCTTGGGAAGTTCAAATCAAAACATTTGGCAGAAATTCCTTTTGCTTGGGCAGAAGACTCTCAGCTTTACCATCAATAATCTGCCTGGTTTCTGGCCAGCTTGCCTGTCTGTCTTCCTCACATCTTGAGCTCTCCAGCAGCCCAGGAAACAGCAAGGCAGATGATATTATGGGAATGCCAAAAACTGGGATCTTGGATCTGAGAAGGCTCAGTGTCTCTGAGTCCTGAAGTCTGTGTAATCAGGTAGACTGTCTGTCCTCAAATCAGACCGTGAGTCTGTGTAGAGACTCTGGAAGAGTATTTAGGAATGGCAGAACCCAATTTTTCATTTTCTGGGGACTATTTCTGACACTGGTGCTCCATGCTATGTTTGAACTGCCTCTTTGCCCTCCGATTATGCTGAATGCATTACAGCTAAAAGGGGGAATGCACTTTGTGGTGAAGAAAAGCAAAATTTTTTTTTTTTTTTACACTACAGGGATACCTGTAGTTAAAACTGTAGAATCTGGCTTCTAATGTGTGTTCCATAAATAGCTGGTGAGTCTGAAAGGTGAACTTTGCCAGTGGCAATTACTGTGGATTCTTCTATTCCTTTGTCTCTGTTTGATTGAATCCATTAGTGATAATTAAATGAAAGATACTTGGTACTTGAAGTAACATCTTTTTGTAGAAATAGATGTATTCCAGTGCTTTGTGTTCAATATCATAGTGCATTAGAGTAATTTTTAAAGGTTTTTTTTAGAATTCATTTGTAATTATACAGAATTGATAGAATTAAAGAATTTCTACATCTGTTTGTATTTTTGGTACATGTGCAATGTTGAGTTTGAAAGAATTTTTCTAATATTTTACCAGGTATAAAATATTTCAGCTGAAGTACTTACCTTGAATTTAAGAACACTGAAACAAACAGTCAAAACAAAAATAAAACAAAAAACAACTGCCCACCTAAATAATAAAAACACAACCAAAAAAACCCACCAAAACAACAATCAATATAAATTAAACCTATTTATGTTGGTATTAAGCTCCCTTGCTACCTAAAGAATAGTATCTTTGTTTTAACATCTGCCAGTACACATTTTTGGCTCACATACAGATTACATGAAATTTCACTTTATTCTGCTACAATTTTATGCTTGCTTGGTACTGAGGCAGCTGCATTAATATGTGCACAGGTTCAAAAGGGGACTGCAGTAACAGAAGAACAAAAGAATGAACTGGTCATCACAAGTTAGTGACATTATCTGTCCTCTGAGCTGCCATTTTCTAAGTTGAAAAACACTGGTGCATAAACTAAAGATGCCTCTAGATAGCTTTCAATTTGCAAAAGTCCCTGTTCCATAGATCATATGTCTGGCCAGCTTTGACATGTTTCTGGAGTCATAATTTCATAGGTGAGTGCACTTGAAAAATGTCTTCAGTTCGATAGGGACAAATAAGCTTTTGTTCCACAGCAGGCATGCGTGTCTTATCTTTGTTCCTATTCACAGCACTTTCAATAAGCATATTTATTCTCGTCAGTATCAAGAAAATCTAATATATGTTAAAACATATGTTAAAACTTCAGTTCCTCTATAATATTTTTATTTTGCTATCACCATTTTTTATATGCACAATATTTTAGCATGCATATTTAGCGCTTACAAAGTATTTCAAGATGAGTATAATCAACAACTCTCCTAATTGCTGACTATGGGTTTTGAGAAATAACTTGCAAAGATCAGGAGAGCAGCATTTTATTGCAGTACATGGCTGGCTGTAAAGGAACATTCTAAAATTAATAATTTATGTGCCCCAGATATACTAGATTCTTGACTGAATAGAAATAATCACTATCCCCAAAGTCTTCAGTCTAAATCTTAGAAAAGAAATAAAAAATTAAGAATTGTAGAGATAGATTTATTTAGACGCTGTGGTTCTGTTTTTTAGTGACTACACTCTAAAATGTATATGCGATATAGAAGACATAGTTGTGTATGTTTGATTATTTACTGTGAGCCTCGAGAAAGGGAAAATTTCAAGGAGATTTGAGGTAATAGTGGGAGAATCTGATATTATGTACGTGGGACTAAAGGGAACCTCTCCTGTGATTACAAACCCCCAATGCCATATTGTCTCTTTTATAAATTACCATTTTCATATGAAAAATTACTCCCGCTAAGGACTATTCCAGAATTCTGTCTCTCCAAAATCTAGAACTTTAAATTTCCAGCCTAAATCTATTCTGCCACTACAGCTATTTATTTTTGTGCTAAGACTGTAAGGTATTTAAATTCTCCCTTCTTCACTATTTACAGTCGTAGCAGACCATTGAACAGGAATGGCAATTTAGCTGCTTTTTCTTGATATTTGCAAAGGACTGGTTTCAAAAGGCTGAAATGCAGGCACAACAACTTCAGATTGCTTGAAATAAATGGCTTTACTAAACTGGGTAGAGAAGAAGTCAGTGTGACATGAGAAAGAGAACAGGGAGCTGAACTGACAGAAAAAAAGGAAAGAAGAAAATGGAGCAAATCCATAGAGAGGTTTTTAATGGTTGTCAAAGTGAATGAGGAGCCATTGGGATTGTTCACTGATGTGGCCACTTTAATTTGTGCATTTTTAAATTAAGAGTATTTAAGAATGCAGCAGAATTGTGATTGTGCCAGATGCCTTAGAGCAAAATGTGTGTGAACCAACAGAGAAGGCTGTTGCAGTCATTGCTGCCATCATGAATCCCTTTTTGGGATAATGGGACACAACTAAATGGGACAGAACTAGTCAAATTCAGAGAACTTGGGGAAAACAGGTCTAACTCAGCACATAGACAGGCAGCAGCTTTTGTCATATCACATATTTCAGCCCAGGAAGTGATGCTGCTGACTCATGCTCCATCTCTTATTGTCTGTTGGAACTCATTTTGTCAAGAAGACCTATTCCTCTCATTGCCCAAATGCTCTACTACTGTTTATTTATCCAACAACACAAGAAATGTTAAGCTGCAGAGTTGAGTGTGCCCTTCATAAGTGTCTAGTGGAAAATACAGAGCTGAGTGATTCTGTGTGAGAGGTGCAGAATTCAGGTGTTATCCTCTCAAAAGTTTTGTGCAGTCATAGCTTGGGAAGAATGTTTACCCAGGACTGATTGGCGACACACTGAGCCTTCAGAAGGCATCCCACCTGGCTGGGGTGCCCCAGGATCTGCTGCATTGCTGACCTCCTGGAGCTGACAGCTTGTTGAAATTCCTCTATTAATAGCCATGTTGACTTGGACTGGATTACAAATGAGTAATTATTTAGGCCAGCACTTTTCCTTTCACAATCTGTGGATTGCAGTGTTTGTTTCTTCACTCAAAAAATGTTGCTCTGTCCCACAATGGACCATGAACTACCTCAAATCTTACATGAAACAAGTCTACAGGTGTAGCTGTACATAGATGTGTCAACAAATGTCTTGGTTTCCTCAGCTCTGGCACTTGATCTGCTGATACTTTGAGTTACTGCATAGAACTTCAGAGACTTCATGGAGGAGCTTATGACAGCCCATTAGCACACAAATCTGAGAGAGCCAGCAGGGTCTGAGAACTGTTCAGGCTGAAGCTGGTTCTCCTCATTATTATCAGGCCAGCCTCAGTGTCAGTGACACAACATGAAACATTACAGACTGTTTTTCATTGCTGGCATCATTAGAAAAGGTTTTGGCAGCAGCCAGAGCAACAACATCCACAGCTTCTTAGAGTTCTTGTCACTCCTTTGCCTCTAACCTCAGCTGCCAAAGAGCTGTGATGTGCAGCGAGGGATAACTTCAAAGGAAGCTGCTCAGTAATCATGTGGGTTTGCTCTGGCAGTTTCCAGCTCATATCACAGACCCTGCTCCTTCTCAGCTCTGTGAGGAACACGACCACATAGATTATTTACCCACCCATCCTATCAGAGCAGTGCAGGTTCTGGGGCCACCTGGTATTCCTGCTTCACTTTCACTGGCCAAAAATATCTTCCATTTTAAAAGCTGTTGATCCATTGAATCTCTCTTGGATTTTTATTAGAACAGTGTGTGTTGAAGCAGCAATCTTTGTCAAGCAAAACACTAATTAGCAGGACCAGTGATGGCAAATCTGGTCCCAAATGATTGTTTTGGAATAATTATAGATGCATTTGCACAGTAATAGTGAGCATAGTGTTACGGCATGATGAGTTCTTAAGTTACATGAATTATACTGAAGTTTAATTGTTTAGAGTCCTGATATCTCTACTATCCCACAGGGATGATTTTTTAAAAAATTTGGCTCTGATCTTTTTATTTTGAAGAGTAAAATATTTTTAAAAGTTCAGATTCTTTTGGGATTTTTTTCTAGCTTCTTTTTTTTAAAGTAAGTTTTATGGTTGCACAAGGAAATTAAAATATATTAAATGTCATCAAACAGATAGTTATGAGTACTGAAGTTGAAAACTGAGCACTCACACATGCTCTATATACCTTTATATGAAATGTAGTAGTACTATATTCTCTATATATAGGATATATAAATAAAATAATTCTGTATATTTTACCCTAAAATTCAATTTTAAAAAATAAATTAAACTGCTCACAAGAGATAAAATATCACTTTAAAATAATCTGAAAAAGTTGTAAATGGTAATTTTAATGCAGAAATGCAGGTATTATGTAACAGAATATAAAAAACTATTCTTATATATACATATAACAGTCCTAACATGGAAAATAAAGCTGTAGGTTTTCAAATTTACCTTACAGCACTGGTAAAAAGAATAATGGAGTCCCTGCAGCAAACTACAGCCTTGGAAGTGCCACTGAAGGTAGGGGAAATTTTGAATTTCCATTTCTTTCTCAGGCATGCTTAGCTTTGTACATCATTGTTGTTGTCATATTAGGAATCTAGAAACAACTATTTTGTTTTTTACTTCAATTGTTTCATTTTCATATTTACAGTAATTGCTTTTTCAAATTACTCCAAAGGAAAATAACTGAAAGAAAGTATACTGCCTTTTGGAAAGTGAGATTGTTGGAGAAATGCATGTGGTAATTTAAAAATCTATTTCATTTTTTGCCACAGAACTTCTGTTGGGTGTGGCAGAGTGAGAAATATGTCCCTTTGATATGCCCCGGGCTTTCTAGATGCGCCACACATTCGTTATTGCTGAAAAAAATATTGCAAAAGATCTTTCTTCAGTAATTCTCACCTAGAAAATGGGTGTATTTAACATTTCTGTGTGGATGCCTAACACACAAAGCAAACAAAACCGCTGGTCATTGCTAAAGGTAGAGGACATCATCTTCCAGACCAACATCTGTAGAAAGTGAGCATCTATCAATGTATTGGACCTAATTGTAATTATATTATAAAATAATTATACTTTTCTCTCTACAAAACTGGTCCCTGTCACTGTAGCCTACTGCTCAGCTTTTGTTGCTTGGTAAAAGACTAAAGCTTCTGGCAATCCCTAAACTTCAGTGAGCAAGGGTTTCCAGTTCCCTGACAAATGGAGTACTTGGTGTTGCCAGGTCACTCACTCAGCAGTAATACTCAACAAGGTTCAGGGACAGAAACAGCTTTATTCTAATTATTTCAGAAGTGATTGCAACATACAGACTTGCATTAATGGAAACAGTTGAAAAAGAAAACTACTTGATAATTTGTTTGGTATTTCTTCCTGCATATTTTCTTTTTCTATTGCAGAATTCCAGCCACTTTGTGGGGCTTTTCTGGAGGTCTTGCAGTTACAAGACCCTTTATGGGTCCTTAGGGAGCCCATCCTTCCCACAAAAATTGAGAAAGGATAATGAAGGCTATACAAGATCTAAATTACTCTTTCTGCTTCCCATACTGATTTCCCCCCTCACTGTTCACTTAACCTTTGTACGATTTTACATTCCTGTTACTAAATATGGTCCAGTAAGACTTTTTGGCCACACTGGGATTATAAATTTCTTGTACTGATACTCCCAAGGTTTGCAAACTGCATTTCTGTAGGTTGCTTACATTGTACACCTGTGTTTGCCTTTCTTCTTTTGTTACAAATTTCTTGGGGGGGAAAAAAAAAAAGCCAAAGTGTTTTTCAAGGTATATTACATTTAAATATTTTAAATTACTGTATTAGACACCTGGCATTCATGCTGCTGTAAGGTTCTTAAAAATAATAAAATACGGTATTTTTGGTGGCATATAAAGTGAATAGCAACACTAGAGTCCTTTCTGGATAGGAAAAATTTAAGGAGACTTTTTAATGCCTTTTTCAGAGGTAACAATGTTCATACTTTGTCTGAGGAAGTCGTGGTCATGAAATAAATATGAGCACTGTAATTGGTTTCTAAGAAAGACAAATGTTTACATTGTTGCTGAGAGTGTTCCTAGTTGCAGGGGTAGAATATCATTTTAGTGTTACGTTTTTCAGACTAACCGGTAAGTTCCAGAAGGTCTCAATGTCCTGTGGACAGATGGGACATACCTTGTTAGTTACCTCTGTCTAAGGTGTTTCACTGTCACACACTGACAAATCCTTCTCAATGCATTAAACAGATGGATTCAAGATGTCATTCCCATGAGAACAGTAATTCTCCATTAAACACCAACTATGCCTTAATAGGTGAAAGAAACACATTCTTAGACAATAAGTAGTTTCTGGGGCTTTCACAGATTAGAACTTTTTAGTAGGCAGTAGAAATATTTGGAGATACACATTTCATTACCCTTGTTTGGTCTCTTCTTCCTGAGCAAATTACTGTGGGAGTCCTGACATACTTCTGCTCGTGCAGCATGTTAGACTACATCCATCATGAAGATATTTCACCTTCCTCTGAAGCCTCAAAAAGAGATCAATGACAGAGGCCAGATAGAAAGCATAAAGTTTGATCTCAGAGAAGAAATTGAGAGTGATCTTTTAAAAAAGTCTCATTTTTTGTTCATGTTGTTTACCCTTCTATACAGTAGGAAAATATCTTTTAGGATTAGAGATGTTGAAGATGAAAAGATTTTTGTGAAATGCTCCTGCTCCCCTTCAACAGACTTACCTCAGCTAAATATGTATTATGTGCTCCCTTAATATGCATATTATTTCTTAATATGGAGACAAAATGTCACTAAAGTAGAGCACACATAGAGTCTTAATGGGGAGAGATCTCTTTTTCTTCTTTGAGGTAAAGGATGATTTATCTTTGAAGTAGTTTTTTTTTTCCAAAATATAGTCCATGCTAATGAGGCAGCTGTCATGTCAACAAATCTACTGTGTACAACAGCACCAGGAATGCGAAACAAACTGAAATTAAACCAAAGCAACAATAAAAATACCCCAGAACTTGAAAAGTGGGGGGTAAAAAACCCTAGTATCTTTATGCATTGCAGACAAAGTTGCTGATGATGAACATCAAAATCATCATTTGTAGCTCTTTTAAAAGCATGAGATGAATTTTGCTTTAGTGTATTCCTTGCAATTCAGTAATATGTATTTGCAATTTGAAAACGAAAGGTTTGTTTAAATTGTTAAGGTATTTTTATCAGAACTGTAGCAATAATTGAGTATTAATACAAATGAAGAACATTTCACATTGGATAGGCATGTAATCTGGAGCAGTATCACATCCAAAGGGAAAAGTAAAAATAGTAATCTTGCTATATATGATGTGTTTATTTGTTTAAATTTTTTTTTTTTCCCTGACAGGTTCCCTTGAAAGTGATTCTCACCACTGGGAAATCATGGGGGTGTATGACAGAATTGCAGGAGATGTAAAGCAATCATTGGGGATGTTATTCAGTACCCAAACACCTCATTGGCCTGTGCTGATTCCTCGCTGAATCACTAGGCAACAGCGCTGCTGGATCTTTCATAAGCACCTAATACTCTGCATGTGAATTTTTTTACTTCATTTTGTCTGTAGCCCTAGGCAACAGCAGTGAGATAAAACTGGTTTTTACCAGTTCATTGTGTTTCCTTTAGCCAAGGTATCCAGTGGGGAGCTGCTTTTGTTCACAGCTAAATTACTACATGTGAGAAATGAAACAAGACAGTATTAACCCTTTGAGAGCATCACAAATATATTTGAGTTACATGGATGTTTAGACTTTAATGTTAAATGTTTTGTGAAGTGCTTGTGTAAAATACTTATAAGCTGGCAGTATTTGAACTATGTCAGATGCTTAACTATTGTGTTCAGCTTATTTTGTATTTTGTGAGTAGAATGTAGCTGCTTGGTGTTCATCACATATTAAATGTCCCGTTCTTCAGACTTAGAAAAAGAGTTAATGAACTTAATTTTTGTCTAGAATTTTGCATTAAAACAGGTAAACAGAACTAGAAGCTTAAATGTATTTATAAAAAGGAGATTGTTGTCCATTCAATTGATTTCAAACTGAGTTTGCACTATAGCCTTAGCATACTTTAGATAAAATATTACAGTTTTACCTAATCTATCACTTTTATTACTGATATAATGATAAATATTGTTTAGATTAATTTTAGGATTCAACCTTATCCTTTTCAGGCTTTTACTTCAGTGTTTGAATTTTTTTATTAATAATTTGTTTTTCTGTAGAGCTTATTCTTCAAATGAGATTTGTTTCATAACATTACTGTTTTACAAATTCTGTCTCTCTGCTTATGAAATATGAAATTGTCCTTGAAGCCTACTAATTATTCAGAAGTTGAAGTCAAGCACAAAACTTTTAAGAGTTGTTCAGTATGTTTCAGCATTAGATATCAAATTATCAGAGTAATACAATTTAAATTCTAGAACTGTATGATTGTAAAGACTTTGCAGCATTTTTAATTTGTATAATTAAGTAATTTTACTTTGCACTTAAAGCCATTAAAATATTAAACATTGTTTTGTTATGTTGCTTATTAATCATACATAACCTGTCAGCTGATGTGAGTCAGTAGTTTCTAAAAATTGATTCTTATACAACTGGCATTGATCATGTAAGCAAAGTCAGAACCTGCTGCACATTAATTGGGGTCAGTTTTGGCGGGGGGATCCAGCCTGCACGGCTGTGACACCATGCCAGGTCCTGTGAGCAGGGCCCTGATCCCGCCTCTCCAGCAGAGAGGAGGTTGCACAAGTTTTCTTATGGTTTTTGCTATTTTCAAGCCCTCTGTGTTTGCAGTGGCATTGAATAAGTGTGAAATGTTCTTCTGTCTCATCTCTTTCACTCCTCTTGAAGATCTACTGGTTTTGGGAGGCCCCTACTAACTAAGCCCTGTTTCTATAACACTGCATTGCTAACATGCCTACCATATGGAGGAAATAATAATTTCTTGGTACATTCCCAGCTGATTTTCATGCTGTGCATTTTTCTTAGGATGCATATTTTACAATTAGATGGATGATGTATTTTTTCAAGCCTCAGACAGCCCTAGGAATACCCTTCAGCCTAACAAAACCCAAAAACAAGCTTAAGAACAAAAAGAACCTGAATCCACTTGTGTGAATTGACATCTGTTAAAATCTGGAGCTACAGAAATGTAGAGGTCACCATACAAATTTTCAAACACAACCCTTCACAAATGACTGCCAGTCACAGTTCCCCAGACACGTGCACTTTGTGCAGGTTGTCATACAAGCAGGAGAAGTTAATGTTTTATTCTCCTTGTATCACAGTTTCATCAGGGTTTTAAATTCCCAAAGAATCAGCTAACAGAAGGAAGAAGGCCAAGCAATAATTCACCACTTTATCACACGTGCCCAAGGGCTCATTCTGTGTACATTGGTGTGGGGGCAAAAGGCAAACTGGCATAATTTTGGAGGATTGTTGCTGACCAAGTCTTGAGACTTGGTGAAGTTTGTGGCCCCCCAGCTTGCAGGATACATACCGTGAACTTGGGATATCATTCCAGTGCTCCAAATTCTCCAGTAAAGAAACTGAGAAGCTTTCTCCACTTGAGAAATAGTAGTGTTTGTAATTCATTTCTCAATGAGGTCCTCTGGACAAGGCATCAGTTTTACCTCACTTGTGTGCTGATCTATGTATAATCATAAAATCTGTGCAGTACAGTTTTTCCAAACCTTAGTTGAGGTCTGAATCTAAAGAGCCATTATAGGAAGCAAGGCCAGTCCTGACCACAGATTTCCTCCCAAATAAATATAGGTGAAAATATTCAGTGTTTGATGACTGCCTCGAATTCCTTTGGGTGGCACAATAATTTCACACCACAGAACTCAAGACCCTAATTATAATAAATAACCACCTTGTCAGGTTATTTTGGTTCTGCATGAAAGGGACTTTAAAACATGGTTAGGCTTGAGCAGGAACAATCATAAGAGCACTTTTACATCCTTAAAGCTCTCAATTTGGTCTCTAAAATGATTCTGTTTTCCTCACAACCTACAAAGAGGTACTGGGAGAACATGAAGCAAAAACTTCTGTTTGAATTGCAGAACCCTACAAAAGTACTGATCAACGAGCATGGGAAATCACAGAATAAATGGGCAATGGGGAAATAGCTGGTTGTACTTCGTTCCAGATATCCTTTGTGAGCAGGAATTTCATTAATTGATTCTCTGAACACATAATAACACCCTTTTGAACTGATTTGTGTCTAGGTTTAATTTCAGGCATGTCTTTGATGGCCTGAATCTTCCTTTAGTTCACCTGTAAATCTCTTTGTTTGCTCTGTGAAGTAGTGGGGAAAGAACACTATTTGAAAATACTTTAGCTCAGTGTCTGGAGGAAATGGAACAGCTCAGCTGGAATGGCATGACCAATACTTCCCTGCTTGCAAATCTTTTCATGTACACATCCAACTGTGGGACAGCAGGACTCTGATCTTCAGTTCTGGCCCAACTTGATAATAACCATAGCTCAAACACTGACCTCAGATTTGATGTGGGCAAGACATCTTAAACATGGGGAGGGAAAAAAAGTGTGAGTTTTTGAAAACTAAGAGTAGATTAAGAGATTGAATCTACTAGATCACCCAGGGCATAGTTTTGTTCATGCTAATGATTAAGAAAAAGCCCTTAAAAAGAAACTGATTTTATTTTGTGGGAGTCAACAAAACCTATTCCTCTAATTTCTTGTTTAATCTGATTTTAAAAGGAGGCCAAAGAACAGGTTCAGGGTTGTATTATAGTTTCTTGATATATTTCCTCAGTTTCTTGCTTCACCATTAGAAGATCAGACCTTTTCCTGACCTCATAGCTCACCCTTCTTTGAGCAGGAGGTTGGACTGGAGACCTCCTGAGGTCCCATCCTACCTGAATTTTGGTCCTGTGCCACTCCTCAGTTAGACAACAGCAATCACCTGGGTGGAAGACAAACCAGAAATTTGGTGCACCACATTAAGGATATACTGCCATTCCAGAAGAAGCCCCAGAAATGTTTTGGGATTCGCCTTCCCACCTGTGTTGCCTCATTCTGTGCCAGCATTTACTATATTCCCTGGCTCACAGGCTCACTTTTGGCTGGCATACTTCCCTTTGGTATTAGCACATTGTCAGAAACATTCAGGGAGTGGAAAGGAATCGTTTTTTCTGCCATTCTGCAATGGTTTTAGTAGAGAGTACATATCTGGGTTTAAAATAAGTTTCAATTGTGCCCTGTCTTTGCCTTGCTGGGAGATATCCCCAGACTAATAATCAGTTCATCCCTTCTGGAGACAGCAGCCAGACTGTTGTCGCTGGTCAGCTGGTTCTCTTGAGACATATTTGAAGTGCACTTCTACCACCTCTTTCTGGAAGTCCCTTTTTTATTAGCAAACAAGTTGTTATTATTTGCTCTAATTCCAGGCAAATTTTTATGCCGTCTGCTTATGTTTTGAATTATGGAGGTCCAGCTTCCAGCTACAGTTTGCAGGGTTTTTTTTCTGTGCATGTCACCTTCTCCATTCAAGGTTAATTAGTTGGACAATTTTTAGCTTCTTTCTTCCTCAACTTTTGCTTCTTACACTGACAATTTTCCACTGCTAACCCTTCCTCCCACTCCTCATAGATACTGTTATTTCTAGTAAAAATCTCACTATTAGTTGTCCACAAGTTTAAAAGAAATTGCTTATATTTTTTCCTCTTATCTTTGTGCTCTCAGTTCATTCCTCTGCCATTTGGCATGACACTTATGCATTTATGGCATTTTGGAGACTGTTCTCTGGCTAACTACATTTTTACTTCAGTTGTTCATTCCATGATCAATTCTTCCAGGCTATCAGAAATTGAATGTAGAAGTCCTCTGTGGTTCCCCCTCTCCCTACATTTTTTGGCAGCTTCATCTGCTGTGCACATTGAATTTCTCACATCTAATTATTCAAAAGTGTCATGCATCAGATTACAATCCCATTTTCCAATTTGTGTGTTAAGCAGAGCACTGTAGTTACAGGCTCCTGAGAATCAACCTCCATCCTCCCCACAAGTGGCTGCTGCCTGCTACACTGCCTTTCTCTACAGAATTGGCTGAGCCAGAATTAAATGCCTCCCTGGGTTACTTGGCCTCTTTGCACTGATCCATTAGTCCACATCCAGCTGAGTCCAGAAATTAGTTAATTGCTGATTTATCCTAAATGTTTTATTGGTGTCTGGTTGAGTGAAGAAGACAAGTGTCCTCAGGACTTCTGCCAGATATTTTTTTCCTTCTCTTTTTAACTCAAAGCTATGCCCCAGAGCCTGTTCAGGCTGATGATTGACTCCAAACTGCATGTGAAAGATACCTATAAGAACTTCATTTCTTCACAATTTATAAATTCTGCAGCAGTTTGAAAGCTGAGCCACCCTACTCGCCTGCCAGCAATCCCCATCTCTGTTTATCTTCCCATCCATTCACTTGAACCATGATGTTAAATTAAATAAGCTTCCCAGGGAGGTTTTCCTTTAAATATAATGAGCTTTTGTAACATATGAGCTGGGAGAAGTCAACATCTTCCCTTGGGGCCTCTGTGGGTCTCAGATGAGGTTAAAGAAGTGTTGTAAATGTTGGGCTATAGTCAAAGTAGTTGGCTGCTTCTGATTCTATGGCTTGTGATATATTTGATTTTTCTTCTGGAGCTGATTTGTTTTTAGTCCTTTAACTTCTTTTCATATTTGACCTAAAATTTAACCTTCTCCTGGCATTATCCATATTCTTTAACACCTTCCATTCTTCCATTCCCTGGAAATCAGGTTAATAAAAACCTTTTTAGTTCATCCTACACCTCCAGTCTGGGCAGACATTTATTATTGCACAACAAACCAAATGTTTTTCTGCAAAGAATCATATATTTCTTTCCTGGGAAGCTCTTGAGTCCTGTTTATATTGCTTTTGTACAATTGAAATCTTACTTTAAATCCTTCTGGCCGACACGTTTATAATTCAAAAGGATTTTAACACAATGGAATAGTAGTATAAGATGAATATAAAGAAGTGAGGATAAATGCAAAACTTCACACAAAAGCAAAACCTGTTAGCTACCCAAATGTAAGCAACATATTTCCTAAAATGTAGGGAACAGCTAGCTGGGCATCAATTTCAGGAAAGGACCTGGGGATCTGAAGGTGTTTGTAGAATGATCAAAAGTGGTATAATCAATCCCTCCACTCACTTCAGCCCCAGCAAGGTCTCAGCTGAACGCCCTGCCCAATTTTCAGAAACGCGTTTCAGAAAACAGATGGAGCAACAGGAATCCATAGGAGACCAACAGGAGTGATCAGAGCTATAGACAATATCACCTGTGAGGAAAGGCTGCAAGAATTTAAGTCAATTAACCTTGAGAAGACTGAGGAGAAATCTGAAAGGATTCATCCAGTATGAGACAGGCTGTCATAAAGGTGGCAGTGAACTGCTCCATAGGTCCCCTGGAGAGAGAATGAGAAGAGAGAGGCTTAAATTTCAGCAAGGTATAACTAGGGAAGATGTTAAGCAA